AGGAGATGCAGAAGCTGGGCGTCATCGAACCCTCAAATTCAGAGTGGTGCAGTCCCGTGGTGATCGTCCGAAAGAAAGATGGCTCCCTACGCATTTGTATAGACTTTCGAAAAATCAATGCAGTGTCGGAGTTTGGCGCTTACCCAATGCCTCGAATTGACGAACTCCTGGAGAGGATTGGACGAGCCCAATACATCACAACGCTAGACCTATGCAAAGGGTACTGGCAGGTTCCGTTGGAGAAGTCAAGCCGGCCCTACACTGCATTCCAGACCCCCGCCGGGCTGTTCCAATTTACTGTGATGCCCTTTGGTTTACACGGTGCCCCAGCGACCTTCCAGCGGCTTATGGACCGGGTTCTACAGGGTTGTAGCCACTGCAGTGCTGCCTATTTGGACGATGTCGTGGTATACAGCAACAGCTGGGAAGACCACCTCAAACATCTTGCGCTGGTCCTGGGGACAATCCAGAGAGCTGGGTTGACATTAAATCCATCCAAGTGCGAGTGGGCAAGAGAAGAGACCCAATACCTTGGATATCAACTTGGCCGAGGCGAGGTGCGTCCTCAAGTTGACAAGGTGGAAGCCGTCCGAAATTGCCCGCGACCACAAACAAAAAAAGAAGTGCGGTCCTTTCTGGGCCTGGCAGGCTGGTACCGGCGCTTTGTCCCTCAGTTTGCCACCCTTGCCGCACCTTTGACCGCGCTGACTGCGAAGGAACAGAGGGATCCCGTAGTCTGGTCCAAAGCCTGTGAAGAGGCATTTCAAACCCTCAAGGCTTGCCTCTGTTCCTCTCCGGTCCTCAAGAGTCCCGACTTCACCCGCCGCTTCCTAGTCCAGGTTGATGCGTCAGCGGTTGGACTCGGAGCGGTTCTGGCCCAAGGAGAACCTGGGGAAGAGCAGCCGGTGCTCTACCTGAGCCGAAAACTTTTGCCCAGAGAAACCCGTTACTCCACGGTGGAAAAAGAAGGACTGGCAATCAAATGGGCCTTAGAAAGCCTTCGATACTACCTGTTGGGCAGAGTTTTTGATCTGGAGACAGACCACAGAGCGTTGTCCTGGATCCACACTATGAAGGACCAAAACTGTCGGATTACACGTTGGTACCTGTCCTTGCAGCCTTTCCAGTTCACAGTCCGGCATAGAGCAGGGAAGTCCAACGTGGTAGCTGATTTCCTTTCAAGGTTGCCGCACATCGCCAACCTCGGAGAGGGGGGAAGCAATGTGACGGAGTCATTGCTCTCCCCCTGTCACTAATGCTCTGGTTGTGCGCGCACTCTGGCCATACTCCCCGGTGCGAGACGCGCCCCCCTCCCGCGCAGAGTTTTACACACCACAATTAAGCATGTGGTACTCACCGGTCCCGCTACGTAATCGCAGGTCTCCACACATCCCCTTGTTTCTCCCCTTGATAAACCCCCACACCGGGTTTGCGCGCGCGCCTGTTCATGCTCTCCTCCTTCCGCGTACGTAGTACCAGGTGACCGGGCAAACCGAGCGCATCTTTGGCTATGCCATTTATACTGGGGTTACGTGCGCTTTCACGCTTTGTTTGTTTAATATTCCTTTGTTTAATGATATCTCCCATATCCATGGAAGGGAATTAAAGGGGAGGTATGTTGAAATAATAGTATTGATAATTTGAGAGGAGTTTCAACCAGAAAGGGTTGTTTTGTAAAATTATATTAACTATTTTGTGTAACGCCCATGGGAGGGGCCTGGGGCATAAGAGGGGAGCTGTTTGGGCTGTACAGGGAGTCTTTTGCCTGGTTGCAGAGAGGGCAACCTCCGGCTATTGTGGTATCCTGGCATCCTGAAAGGTTATGTACACAACTTATGTACATTTGTAAATATGTACATATATTGTTTTTTCACATGTTTGTAAATAGCACTGGGGAAATAAACTGGAGAAACAGTTTTTTTTGACTGGCCATTGGTTTTTTGAGAAGTGTTCCCACAACAGTGCTGCATACATTAAGATTACTTAGGGCTCTATTCTATCAGCTAACATGAAGCGGCTGCTAAATACACAAACATAGCCGTGTTCCTCCTGTGTTGAGGTTTGAGCATGTGTGTGTGTGTGGCGTTTGACAGTAGACAAAACAATCACGTTTCTAACCCTAATTACATAAGCAGTACCTTGTTTGTCTCGGCCTCCCCCTGAAGCGATCTACTGTTCATTATTTTTTGCATAATTATCGTCTTGTTTATCAAATTTAACATTCTGAAAGAACATTAAACTATTTCAAATGTAAAGCAGAAAAACACACAAAATAAGACACTGAAGGTAAATATTCTTGTAATACCATACCAGGAGCTCTGCTCATTGTTCTCTGGTCTCTTCCCCTGGTTTCTCGCTGGTCTTTCTCTGGTCTCTCTCTCTCTCTCTGATCTCTCCCTGGCCTCTCTCTGGTCTCTCTTTCTCTGGCCTCTCTCTCTGACCTCTCTCTGGTCTCTCTGGCCTCTCTCTGGTTTCTCTGGTCTCTCTCTCTCTAGCCTCTCTCTGGTCTCTCTCTCTGACCTCTCTCTGGTCTCTCTCTCTCTGGCCTCTCTCTGGTCTCTCTGGTCTCTCTCTCTGGCCTCTCTCTGGTCTCTCTGGTCTTTCTCTCAGGATGTATCTCCTGGTTAATGACATCCAGAGTCCTCAGAAAGATACTGCCAAGCCCAGAACCTGATCCAAACCTTGGCATAATGATCCGTCTCTGACTGTAAACGCATACTGTAGATCGTGGAAGCTCCAGGTTTGGTCATGTGGAATCCAAAAAGCTTGAAAAATATAATATAAATGGCAATATACACAAAACAACCAACTGGAATCTCTGTGGGACCTGGTTAAGGCAAAATGTGCTCAAATAAAGATACATTTGCCAAATCTTAGCATTTTTTTGAATTTTTTTTTTGCATTGTATTGTGCTACTTGTGTCAATAAAATGACTAAATATAATGTTTTTTGCAAAGTTTTGATGCAGGGAGTGACTAGAGCGATAGACAAAACCCTCACATTCATGGCTCATTCATACGACAGTGTTTATACGACAGGAAGGGCCTCAGATGTAAAAACAGTGAATGAACCACTTGAACCTAGAGTTTGTTTTACATGAGAGCAGTGGAGGTACGGGCCATGCTTGTGCCGACCTCACTGGGCGGTCAAAACACACTGGAATGTCAAACAATAGGATAAAAACCTCTAAAAGTTTGCATTTGTAACATGTAACCAGAGACAACAATTACAAATATCCTTTTTTGTGTTGAAACAAAACCCATGCAATTGACATTTTAGATTCCAAGCTTTAACACTAGAACCACCAGAATTCTGAAACCACTAGAACCCCAGAGCCGTCATTTTGACTGACCCCATTCAAACCAATTGAATTTTGAGAAATTCCCCCAAAACAGTGAGTTTGTTTAATAGAGTTTTACCATCACTCACTTTTAATGTGATGGTAAGTGCAAAATGATGTATATAACTGAAATACATTAAAATACTTTGGATGAAAAATGACCAAATGCTAACTGCTAGCAAGTAATAATTGTGTTGCTATGGGAACCAGCACTTGCTCTGTTATTGTGAAAAACCAGGTCGACATTTCACCTAGGAGAAACTACTTACATTTATTTAATTTAGCCTTTATTTAACCAGGAAAGTCACATTCACCCTCAACATCCAGCCACAAACATTTTGTGTACTGTCCATTCATTCCCAGACAAACCCTGGGTATGAAATACTTAAAAGCATTCAATGAAATAAGTTCAGTAAATGTTCAGTCTTTTTGCAAAACGTTCCATGTGGAAGAGGATAGTGCTGCCCCTTAGAGAACCATGAGTGGCATTCATATACATCAGGTCTCCATCCATTTTCTTCCGCTTCATCCGTTGCCTGGTCGCGGGGGCAGCAGTATAAGCAGAGACACCCAGACTTCCCTATCCCCAACACCTTCTCCAGCTCATCCTGGGGGGCCCCAAGGCGTTCCCAGACCAGCAGAGAGACATAGTCCCTCCAGCGTGTCCTGGGTCTTCCCCGGGGCCTCCTCCCGCAGGAACCAGGATCTGGTTCCTTTGAGCCAACAGGACATCGTCCGCAAGCAGCAGAGATGAAATCCTGTGGTCTCCGAACCGGACCCCCTCTGACCCCTGGCTGCGTCTAGAAATTCTGTCTATAAACACAGTGAATAGACCCGGTGACAAAGGGCAGCCTTGGTGGAGGCCAACATGCACCGGGAACAGATCTGACTTACTGGCGGCTCCGGCATCAGGTCTCCATTATATAAAATAGATTAAAAATGTTGCAGTGACAAGCCGCTTTTTCACATTAAAAGAAAAACAAAATGTATTTCTAAAAAAGAAGCCCAATCTAAATTCAAGCTTTTAAGATTGTGAATATGGGGTTTGAAGGTGAGGGTGTCATCAAGTAAGATACCAAGGTATTTGTAGGTTTTGTACTTTTAGTACAAAACTAAAGTGTCTAAAGTAAAAGATAATTTCACAAGAATAAAGACCTAGAAATAAACTACACATACTGTACAGAAAAAGTCACAAAGTTATGAAAACCGCAATCGTACATACGCCCATTACACTTTCAAAACCAAAAGCCTCTGGGAGTTCTGGTGTTAACATTTGCAGGGGGTTTTGCAGAGTCCTATTTAATCCAAAGAAACAGCGAATCCGGATTGCAATTACATATCAAAAATGTCTACATATTGAGCCTGCAGTCAATGTTTTATACACGGTGAGAGAAAGATAATGAGAACACGTCCTGCTCAATATTTCAACGCTTCAAAAGTTCAATCACGCGAAATGTGATGCAAAATCTACAGCCTCAACGCACACACACACACACGCGCCGGGTGGATTTCTTTTTCTCTCCTGTTTCAAATAACATTATGTTCCTGAAGCATCTAAGTAATTAATTTCATTCTGTTGACAGGTCGATCACGATATGTGCGAAAAAACAAGTCAAAGCAAAGTCTTGTCTTTTGAACTTTTTGAGACTTTCTGCTCCAGGTTTGACACGTACCGCAGTCGGAACGAGAGTGCTCGTCTGGCTCGCTTCCTGGACGCCGTGGAGCCAGGGACCATTGTGGTGATGGTGGTGAACGACGAGGCCTCCAACAACCTGGAGGACGCCGCCAAGAGCCACCTGAGCCAGCTGGGGAGCCGGCACATCCGCACGCTAGGGTTCAGGTACCACACTGACCCAAGAATGTGACCGAGGCTTATTAAATTCTATGTATTTTTGTACCGCTCTTAAACAACAACAGCAGTGATCACTGAGGACTTGACTACTATTGATTTACCAAAACAGATCAAATACAAGAAATGCATTGATAAAACCCACATAGAGCCATTGGTCCATAAGGAGCAGGTGACCAAGGTCCATAAATGTTGATAAATGTCCATAGATGTTGTTGAATGTACAAGTAAATCAGAGACTGTGTACAGTATACGTAGATCGACAAGGCTAACCCATTAGCTCTTTGAAGGCCATCAGGGAACTCCTCGAGCTCAGTAACCGTTTGTGTCACACTCTCCATGTTCGGCTTAACAAATATGTTCAATTCAATTTCATTCAATTTTATTTCCTATGGTCGTAAATTACAACAGTAGTTATCTTGGAGGACTTTACAAAACCCTTTATCCGCCAACAGAGATCAAACACAAGAAATGCAATGATAAAAACCACATCGAGCCATCGGTCCATAAGTAGTAAGTAAGTAAGTAAGTAAGTAAGTAAGTAAGTAAGCTTTATTTATATACCGCCTTTCACAGACCAGAGTCACAAAGCGGTTTACAATTGTTTACAATACAAAAGTAGCAGATGATCAATGTCCATAAATATTGACAAATGCCGTTGAATGTACAAGAAGATCATAGAAATGTATATGGATCACCAACTCAGTAAATATATGCCCATAATATCCAGACTATCAGCCGCATTTAGTCTAATTCTCTGTCCCCTGCGGCTTATAAAGAGGCTAATATGTATTCATTGTTGTGGTAGAGGTTTTCAAAGGAGAGATTATGGACTAATCATTTTGACTATAGGACTTGTTTCTGCCTAAATAGATTAAGCTAACGGTGGAGCTGTTTTAAAGACACCATCATTAAAGACCTCATCTCTCTGCTACATTACATGAAAACCTGCGGCTTATATTCAAGTGTGGCCTATATGTGGACATCATTGATTTTCTTTTTAAATTCAAATAAATTCAATTTATTCTTGTATTCCCCTAAATCATAGTTTAACAGTATTTATCTCTGAGGACTTTACAAAAAAAATTGAATTCTCAATATCAGAGAATCAAACAGTTCAAACACAAGAAATGCAACAATAAAAAACACATAGAGCCATTGTTCCATTTGAGGCAGGTGACCGACGTCCATATGTGTTGAAAAATATAAGGCTTATATACAGATGCGCCTTATAGTGCAGAAAGTACTGTAAATAAAATGAAAAATTAAAGGCTGTTCCCGCTCACAGGGAAGGAGGCCACACATGGTATGTTAAGATCTCTCATTAGCATCACAATTGCACATGACGAAGGCCTGGTGAGTGGGCGAGGACAGTGGACCTCTGTGAACATGCTGACATTCCGGCAGTCGCCTTGCCTCCTCGCTCTGGTCTCGCTCTGGTCTCATCATTCGCTCATCTGTGGCTCATAAGCTGCAGACACGTTTAATGAGCTTCAGATTTATGGCAGATTGTGGTCGCATGTTCTCTCCGCGCTGACATATTCACTTACAAACAAACTCCAGAGTTCATCTCACACTGAGGAAACTATTTAACCACAGCATCAATTATAGTGTCACCAGTGTCAAGTCTCCAGAATGGTCAAAGTGAGAGAGGCTTCACTGAGGGGTTTCCAGTCTGATTAAAGGGACACTAACACCATATTATAAAGTAAGTCAGAGCTCCCCAACCTTTTTAGTCATTGTGAACAACCACCAGCTGAACAAAATGAAACTCTACAGCCTTTATTGTCAATGTTAATGTCAACTGTAGTTGTATAGCACATTTACAACAACACCAGCTGCCCAAAGTGCTTCACAGGCACGAAAGATAGAAATAAAAGAAAACAGCATAAAATACATACACATACATGTAAAAATAAAATGGTAAAACTCAATTGGTGTTAAAAGCTGAGGCGTAAAAATGTGTCTTTAGACTAGACTTAAACTAGCCTAGCCATAGCCATCCGTACACTCCGCTCAATCATCATTTCGCAGTGTGTAACGTCTGGGTCTGGTCCCTGTGTTAGCGAATACAATCGGTCGTATTTCGACCGGCTACTCAGAGAACGCATTGTAGGTCGGTGCCGGTGACGTCAAGAGTTTGCATCGAACGGGCATGTTGTAATTCGCAGTAATGGCGAAGAATGCGATAGTAAAGTAATCCGGTCTGGTTCTATCAAGAAACTGAAGCAGGAGCAAGAGGAATGTTTAGCAAATGTAATCGCTGGTCAAGATTGTGGCTCTACTCCCCACGGGCTTCGTTAGCGGCAAAGGAGCTGGCTAAAGCTAGGCTAAATGCTAAATGCTAACGACAGACTCGGGCGCATTACATACGTCACAGTAAACTCAGATCCAATCGTTTCAATCTGCAAAAGGAGTTAACCCCTCCCACCTGTAAACGGAGTCAATGGAGCAAAACCAGACCTCAGTATGAAATGTGATTTGTACTATGGTGTGGTACAACCAGGCTGGACTTAAACACTTCCAATCCAATTCTGAACAAAGCAAAGTAATTCTCATCAATGTGTATTAAATAAAAAAATCAAACAAGCACAAAAAAGTATTTTTAATCATCTCACATCATTTTATTTTCATATGATTTTAAATAAGCAGATGATATTGGATCATTTCCAAGGCACACTGGTTGAAAAACACTGAAGTAAAGAAGTCATCTTTATTAATATAGCCTTTTTCCTCTCACTTCACAGAGAGATGGGAGCAGTATTACAGACTCAAAGATCTTCCCTGTTGTTCTGTGAATCTGTAAAACTCAAATGATTTGGTTACTTCACACAAGGAGTTTTGGTTTGAATGGGCGTTACCATTCACATTTCCTTCCTGCAGCTGTCAGACTGTACAACGAACAATGAGGACTAATGAACATTGTCGACCTGCCTTCACATGCCGTGCATCTGTGCAATACTTTGAATTAATACCAGAATGTGCAATATGGAACCGCATGGTGCAAAAATGGGTTGGATGAAATTAGATTGCAATCACCCATTTAACCCAATGCCATGGAATATCAATAATATACTGTTGAATTGTGTATCTGAACTTAAACTGTGAAACTAATGTATGATATAGACTCAAAACAGCAAAGTGACATATGATTTGAATGATTTATTTACATTTTCAGAGTTATTTTTCCAACCTGAGAGCCAATTATTAAACCAAACAAAAGCTGGACACATGTCACTTTGCTGTACTGAGTCTGCTTTACAGTGGTTTCAAAAGTAAGATGAAATACAGAAGTAAATGGACTTTTGAACCATATCTAAAGACAGCGCACTCTTGACAAAGTCTAGCCTGAGATTCAGAGATGAGGTTTTCATGGTGACGTTTGTTGTTGGGACAAATACAGACAGCTCTCAGTGCTGGTACTTCTAACGCTCAATCATAACTTTATTCATGAATAAATACAAATTAATAAATATTATTGGAACGAGAAGTCCTATAATCATTTATGGACATTGGTCATCTGTCCCTTTTGGACCAATGGCTCTGTGTTTTTGACCATTCCGTTTCCTGAGTTTGAACTGTTATGATTCTGTGTTGGCGAATCCACAGCTTTGTAAAGTCCTCTGCGATACTACTGTTGGGATTTTGGAGTATACGAATAGAATTGAATTGATTTTAACGCTTGCCTCGCTGCTCAGACACCCCTGGGCCCTGATCGCTGTGAAGGGAGATCCGTCATCAGCCGTAGAGGACCACTCTGTCTATCAAGGTATCTCCTTCTATCACCCGCTCATCCACACTCTCTTTACACACACTTGTTATATTTTCATACCTGATTAATGGCCTTTATGAGCAGGGACCAAGGCGTCAAGCGAGGCCCACGTCTCTCACACGTTCCACTCCAGAGAGGGCCAGTCCTTCAGCGTCACGGCCTCCAGTCAGTGGGTGCAAGGTACGCATCCAAACTCACTGCGGCGGAGAAAGTCGAGTCAAACACAACATACAATAATGAGTGTTTGGAAAATCACATCGCGTCCTGGGATTGATTTTAAATATATTTCCTTTGCACCTAAAAGTAATTAAAAGGGCTAGGGTTCAGTTTGCAAATCCTGTACTAAATATGTATTGTGCAGTCAAAATCAATGATATAATAAGCATAATAGGTTAAATAGTAAGCATCCAAAAAAATGATTTTCTATTTGGAAGAAGTTGTATGTTGTTGCTCGGATGAAGGGAGTGTGTGTTTGTGTGTGAGGAGGAGGGGGGTGTGTATTTATGGTCTGGTTTTGGCTGCTGTTTTGGTTAGAGGAACTCCCATCACACATTTAATTAAACACTTATCAACAACATGCAATTAGACCTTTGGATTATTCTTTATTTTGTTTTAGTAACAATTTGTACAATGTTTAAGTCCACAGAATTAACAAAAAGTCCTTATAAAAGTAACATTAGGAGACCCTTTATTTGTCCCACAGTGGGGAAGTTTGAGATATTTGGTAACATCATCCTTTGCAGAAGCCGAGTGGACCGAGTGGCTGAGCAGAGACGACCAGCGAGGTTCTGGAGACTGGGAGAAGCTGTCGGACCTCCTCAAGGCCTTCCCCCAACGTCTGTGCTCCAACCCCCTGGACATACAGGTACCACTGCTGCTGCCACTGCCTCAGGATCACTGCACACCACTGAGAATGAAACACATCAGGATAGCAGTCTTTTCAGAGTCTCATGCATCACCTGAGGATGTAACGTAATAAGAGTCATTTAATAAATAGCACTTAATTCTAATAAGCCCAAACAAGCTTTATCTGCTTTAGTTACTGTCAAGTTCTAACAGTTCAGTTACATTCTCATATTGGCTGCAGTGTATTAGGGAAATGGGAAATAGTTCAAATGTGTGTTATATATTTGCTGCTCTTTAGAAAAATTTAACTTCTTTTTTTTTTTTTTTTAAGTGCTGTTTTAAAGTAAGATTGTAGACTTACGAGTTGTACCTAAATGGTTTAATTGGCAACATATACAATACACTGTAAGAGAGAGGGGTCTGCAACCTGTAGCTTAGGAGCTAACAGTAGCTTGCCAGCCCCTTTCAGGTAGCTCCCCAAAGGATTTAGAATTTAGAATGATTCATTTTTTTTTTTTTTTTTTTAATTTAAACAAAACAACATGAACATACATACATGGGGGGGAAGGGGGGGGGGGTCTTCCATGTTTGTGCGTGTGTGTGTGTGTGTGTGTGTGTGTGTCTGTGTGTTACTTATTATTTACTTTATATTTTTATAATAGAAAAAACAAAAAAAAAAACAAAAAAAAAAAAAAAAAAAAACAAAGACAATAAAATATATATATATATATATATATATATATATATATATATATATACAAAACCTCTTTTTTTTTTTTTTTTTCTTTTTTTTTTTTTTAACAGCAATAGCGACAATGGCGATGATGAAGATAATAATTATGACCATACTAGCGTCCTTAACAGTAGCATTATTACTGGCACTCTTCCGACAGCTTTCCTCAATAGTTTGTCTGTGATTGTGTGGTGTATTAAAAAGAAAAATATCTGCGTGAGGTGTTGTGCATTAAAAAGGCATGTGCCTGGGATGCTTGTGGGAGGAGTCCATATATTTATCATACAATGTGTATTAATTAAATTAAACAATATTACTTATTATTGTTGCTTCCTCACCATCACCGTTCCCCATTGCTTATTCTACATATTCAAATATGATATATCTTGTATGTGTAAATACTAATTATATAATTTATAATATTAATAGTTAAGCAGAAACTATACAAACAAAAAAAAAAAAAAAAAAAAAAAATAATAATAATAATAATAATAATAATAATAATAAAAATAAAAAACAATAAAAATAATAACACAAGTGAGCAAAAATAAAGAGAGAAAAAAATAAGATAAATCCACAATAATAATCATTATAACAATAATATATAATAATAATATGAAAACTAAATTAACATTAAAATAAAAATAGAAAATAAAAAATAAAAGTAATAATAATAATCATAACAATTCAAATTATCGTAACAATAATAATAACAGTGACAATGCAATTTAGTTAATTTGTAAGATAAAGTATGAGTTTGTTCCAGTTGCTGGGTGTTTCAGTAATTCTGTGATTGGTGGATGTTTGTTCAAAGGATAAGTGTTCTAGGAGGAGATCTTTCCACTGTGAAGTGTTGACTTTGATTTTTTTTTTCCAGTTGAGGAGTATTGTTTTTTTTGCAATTGTTAGTGCTATCAGGGTAAGTTGTTGGTCTGCTGGGTCTAAGGTTAGAGTGGATGTGTCGCCGAGTAGACAGTGTAAAGGGCTGTGGGGGATGCAGTGGTCCATAATGGTTGAGAGGGTTTCTGTCACTTCTTTCCAGAATTGAAGAACAGGGGGGCAGAGCCAAAAAGCATGTATGTGCGTGTCAGTTGAGTTTTGTGTGCAGTTGGTGCATTTGTCTGTACATGAGCTGAATTTTGACATTTTCTGTCCGGTGAGATGTGTTCTGTGTAATATTTTGTACTGTATCAGGTGAAGGTTTGCGTTGTCAGACATGTTGTAGATGTTGTTACATATTTGGGTCCAGAAGCTGGCATCAGGGGCAATTCCAAGGTCTGTTTCCCATTTTTCTGTTGGTAAGGTGATTGTATAATTTGAATGGATGATGATTCTGTAGATGTTGGCAGTTATTTTTTTTGGGGTCTTGATATTTAGTAATCTTGTAATTGGTGGGGGGAGAGTGAGATCTATATTTTTTGTGTCATATGATTTTTGGATGATTGATTTTAATTGATGGTACTCGAGATATTGTGTGTCCCTGATGCCAAACTTCTGGACCAGGTGCGAGAATGAAACCAGTGTGTTGTCATGAAAAATGTGTTGTAGGTGTGTGATGCCTGCCTCTGCCCATGTACGAAAATGTAATGGTTTCTTGAACTGTAGGAGGTCTAGGTTGTTCCAGATGGGGGTGAAGATGGATGGTGTGGGAGTGGTGTTAGTGATTTTATAAAATTTCCACCAGGCTGTCAGAGCTGATGATATTGTATAGAATGTGAAGCATGGGTGTCGTTTAATTGAGCTGCTGTGAAATGGAAGGTCAGATAATGATATATTTCCACAGATTGTCTGTTCAATGTCGGACCAGGTATTGTCTGCAGGGTGTGGGTGTGTCCATTTATAAATATATTGCATATGAATTGCTGTCGAGTAGTGAGTGAAGTTTGGTGCGCCAAGTCCTCCTTGTGATTTGGGTTTTTGTAATGTTGTGAGCTTTATTCTGGGAGTTTTGTTTTTCCAGTAGAATTTTGATATGATAGAGTTAAGGGATTGGAACCAGGATGATGTTGGGGTGATTGGGATCATGGAGAGAAGATAATTTATTTTGGGGAGAATTGACATTTTGATAGTTGCTATTCGACCAATGAGGGATAGGGGTAGATTCATCCAGCGTTGAAGGTTGTCTGTGATTGATTTGAGGAGTGGAGTGTAGTTTAGATGAAACAGCTCTGACAGCCTGGGGGAGATCCTAATGCCAAGGTAGGTAATATGTTTAGATATGGGAATGGGAGGGGGATGGACCACTGCATCCCAGCTGTCATGTTGTACAGGGAGTATGGTTGATTTGTGAAGGTTGATTGAATAGTCTGAGATATTTGAGAATTGTTGTATAAGTTTGATTGTTTCTGTTAGGGATGTGTATGGGTGTTGCAGGTATAATAATATATCATCGGCATAAAGGCTGATTTTATGGTGTCCAGTGGGTGTCTGAATTCCGGTGATTTTTGGGCTTTGGCGGATTGCTGCTGCTAGTGGTTCAATAAATATTGTGAAAAGTGCTGGAGAGAGTGGACATCCTTGCCTGGTTCCTCTGTGGAGAGTGAAATGGTTGTGAGATTATTCCATTTGTTGTTACTGTAGCTGTGGCTGAGGTGTGTAGAATTTGTATCCAGTTTATAAATGACTCCCCAAAGCCAAATGTTTGTAATGTTGATATTAGAAAAGACCAGTTTACTCTGTCAAACGCTTTTTCCGCATCCAGGGAGATTATTGTGGTTGGGGTTTTTTGTGTGTTTGAGTATTGCATTAAGTTGAAAAGTCTGCGAGTGTTATTGGATGAGTGTCTATTTTTGATAAATCCTGTTTGGTCAGGGTGAATGATGGTGGGAATTACCTTTTCAATTCTATGGGATAGTACTTTTGTGATGATTTTCAGGTCTACGTTGATAAGGGAGATGGGACGGTAGTTTGATGGTTGGTTGAGGTCCTTGTTAGGTTTTGGGATAAGTGATATTGTAGCATTATTCATGTGAGTGGGTAGTTGTGATTTTTCTTTTATTTCAGCGATGAGTCTAAGGAATAATGGGGAAAGAATAGTCCAAAATTGTTTATAGAACTCAGCAGGGAAGCCGTCCGGGCCAGGAGTTTTGTTGTTGGGCATTGATTTTATGGCAGTGTGGAGTTCATCTTTGTCAATGGGCGCATCAAGCATACCCATTTGGTCTTGTGAAAGTTTTGGAAGACTAATATTGTTTAGGAAAATGTTTATGTCTGATTGGACAGGTGTGTTCTCTGATGAGTAAAGTGCTGAATAAAATGTTTTAAATATATAGTTTATTTCCTCCGGTGATTGTGTTGGCTTCCCTGCTGAGTCCTCTATACTTACTATGGTTGATTTTTCTTTCCATCCATCCATCCATCCATCTTCTACCCTTTAATCCATTTCTGGGTCAGGGGGGTGGCAGTCAGAGATGCCACCCAAGTCTCATAGCACCAGCCCCTCACTGACCCTCTGCAGGTGGTGAGTCCACAGGAGGACGGCTGCTCTTTGAGTGTGAGCATAGCCTTGATCTTTCAGTGGGGGCTTTGGGCAAAGTGGGGTTAAGTGTCTTGCCCAAGGACACAACGACAGCAGTCATCAGTGGGAGTTGGTGGAGAAGGTGTCGAGGTGGGAATTGAACCCACAACCTTCAGGCCTGAAGGCCAATGCTCTACCAACTGAGCTACTGTCGCCGATAATGATTTTTCTTTGTTTTGTTTTATTTGATTGGCTAGGTATTTCCCTGATTTATTATTATGATGAAAATTTTCTTGCCGGAGTCTCTGAATCATAAATTGAGATTTTTTATTGGTGATGTTATTCAGTTTGTAGTTATAATGTCTTAATTCATCTTGTGTTTTTTCTGAAGGGTTGTTTGCATTATCGGTGGGTTGTTTGCATTATCGGTGAATGATTCATTTATGAGTCATTACACATCTCGTATAAGTATAAATAGAGTTAGACATTATTATGGTATTTTTTTACATATGTTTTCCATGTTTTGTCATAATTATTACATAGATTTTTTTATTATGACAACAAAAAGGAGTTGCTTTATGGCTCGTCTGTTGTAAAAAGGTAGCTCTCCGATTGAAAAAGGTTGGAGACCCCTGCTGTAAGATATATCATCTTGATCTTTCATGTCTTGTTTAATATTGCGAACAAGAAATGCTTGATATTTTCTTGGCTGTTTCTTTTACTGACATTTTACTGTTTGAAATCCTTTACATAATGCCTTGACAAATTATTCATACCCATTTTCTACCCAACACAACAGTGAAGTGAAAGTATATTTATACAGGTGAAAAGTGTTCAGCCCCCCTGAGTTACCATGGGCCTCTTGACAGCATCTCTGATCGGTGCTGTCCTTGTTCATGTTGTTACTTTGGGCAGTCGTTGTTTCTTGGTTTCTTTACATTTCTGGATTCCTTGGACTTCACAGTGACGCTTAGTGACCAATATTTTCTTAACAAGGTGATCACAAAACACATTTATTAACACTGACATTAGATTACCTTGACATTCGATCATTCATCAGCAGGAAACTTATGAAGAGCGTGAAGGGGACGGAATACATTTCAGTTTTTTTTATTTAACAAAAAACTTGTATATATATTTGTTCCTCACTTGGATGGAAAGGAAAAATAATGAAAAATGTGAGAAAGTTCATTGGGTATAAATACTTTTGCAGTTTACTCAGTTTACCTCTGTACTGACTTAATTGTCCTTGGGTGAAATACATGGCCTGATCCACAGTTTGAGAACCGTCGCAGTTTGAAGCCTGCATGGGTCACTGATTTTTGTTTGTTTGTTATTGTGGCGCGTGTGTGTGTGTCGGGGGAAGAATGTGCGGTGACGGAGCACGACAGCCGACAGCAACAAATAAGCAGTTTACAGAGTGCAGCAGCCTCTCCCTGACGTTCTGTGACATTGAATGCTTACTTTGGAAATGTGTGTGTGTCTGTCTTTGTGTGTGTGTGCCTCTCTGTATGTGTGTGTATGTATCTGTGTTTCTGTGTGCGTGTGTGTGTCTGTGTGTGTGTCTGTGTGTGTGTGCGTGTGTGTCTTTGTCTGTGTTTCTGTGTGCGTGTGTGTCTGTGTGTGTGTGTGTGTGTATGTGTCTCTGTCTGTGTTTCTTTGTGGGTGTATGTCTGTGTTTGTGTGTCTCTGTCTGTGTTTCTGTGTGGGTGTGTCTGTGTGTGTGTCTCTGTCTGTGTTTCGGTGTGTGTGTGTGACTATGTGTCTGTGTGTGTGTGTGAATGTGTGTATGTGTCTCTGTCTGTTTTTCTTTGTGGGTGTGTGTTTTTGTGTGTCTGTTTGTCTCTGTCTGTGTTTCTGTGTGTTTGCGTCTGTGTGTCTCTGTCTGTGTTTCTTTCTGGGTGTATGTCTGTGTTTGTGAGCGTCTGTGTGTCTCTGGGTTTCTGTGTGTGTTTGTGTGTTTGCGTCTGTGTGTCTCTGTCTGTGTTTCTTTCTGGGTGTATGTCTGTGTTTGTGAGCGTCTGTGTGTCTCTGGGTTTCTGTGTGTGTTTGTGTGTTTGCGTCTGTGTTTCTCTGTCTGTGTTTCTTTCTGGGTGTATGTCTGTGTTTGTGAGCGTTTGTGTGTCTCTGTGTTTCTGTTTGTGTTTGTGTGTGTGCATCTGTGTGTCTCTGTCTGTGTTTGTGTGTGTGTGTGTGACTATGTGTCTGTGTGTGCGTGACTGTGTGTATGTGTCTCTCTCTGTGTGTCTGCGTGTGCGTGTCTCTGTGTGTGTGTGTGTGTGTGTGTGTGTGTGTAGGCTGAGACCACAGAGGGAGTCCCGGCTGAGCAGAGTGGAGACATCATCCATAAGAAGGACAAGGACTATGGCTTCGTTTGCCTCAACAAGGACCAGCCTCATGGGACGTGCCATGACTACAGCGTCCGCTTCCTCTGCAGAAAACTCGGTAATAGGATAAGAGATCCTTTATTTGTCCCACAGTGGGGAAATGTCAATGTTGCAGCACACATACAGGACAGAAGTAAGAGCACAGAGGGAGCACACAAAATTTACAAAATAAAAAGCTGGTATTTTTCTTAGCTAGCTTTAAATCTTTCAATATCAATATATCGATTTATCTCTATCTGTCTTTTTATAGAGAGCAAAGTATCCTTATTCCTACATGTGTCTAAACATGAAATAAATATTTTCACAATCATGTATGAGGACCACAATTGGCAAAAAAATGCGTAGAATATTTGCGTAGAAAATATGCATGGAAAATACGATATTTTCTGTAAAGCTGGGACACCTCACTTTCCAAATGCAAAAATGATACATATTTAGTACATTCTTTTCTCTATTTTCCCAGAAATAGTCCAGTTTTTTTCTCACAGCTGATAGCATGGAGAGTCACAGGCAGAGAGAATTTTTGCACTCTTCAAACTTATTCTAGTCTAAAACATGAAACAGCAAAGCAAATATTTTTATTATCAAATTTAATGGTAATATTATGTCTTCTCTAAATCAATAACGTGCCATCACAGTTATAGTAATCTATCTCCCAGCACTTTATATAAAACATTTGTTGCGTAATGATGCATTCTTCAAGATAAACCATTCCAGTTACGTGACCTCCCTCTGAAAAAATATTGTGGAGGAGGTCTGGGTTGATTCTGGGGAGCAGGTCAGAAGGCGATCACTTTGTCTTTTGTCTCTCCGTCTTGATGAAAAGCAGCATTGACACTCTTACATATGTGTTCTAAGTAAAGAAGAAAGTAAGTCAAGTTTATTTATATAGCGCCTTTCACAGACCATAATCACAAAGCGTTTCACAATTTAAAACATACAGTGAAAATAGTACACATACAAGTCAGTTTCAAAAATGAAAATTTACAGAATATACATAAACACAGTCTATGTAAGGTGAGGCGAGAAAGCTGCCCAAACAAATGGGTCTTAACCGTAATCATTTTTTTAAGTAAATTAGATAAATTATAAGGATGGCCCAAAGGTTATGTAGGATTTAAAGGTACCTATCTAATTTTCATATTATGGCTTCATATACAGTAGTGGTGGCAATCGTGGAGATTCCTGACAGGCTTACAGATCACCAGGTCATGAACACACAAACAGATCTCACATCTCAATGATCAGGGAAATAGTAAAACAATGCATATCAGGAAGTTTGAATTTTGACACCCTGCTTTACACAATTGTCAGTTTTAAACAATACCACATAATGCTGATTTAAGTCAACCGTGGCGCCGCCGCCTAGAGACTGGGGAAACTCATTCCACAGGCGAGGAGCAACAGACTGGAAGGATCTGTCTCCTCGAGTTTTACAAAACAAGTGCAAGGGACCATCAACAGGTTCTGTGTGGAGGACCTCAGGCTCCTGTTGGAGACATAGAGTGGATCAGCACCTGGATTTATTTAGGCACCTGACCATGAAGCCAAAGCAATTTCCAAGTCTGTGACTTCCTGTTACTTACGTGGCAATAACAATCATTCTGATTCTGATGAAGAACCCTTAATATCAACACCAGAATTTTAAAATATAGGAGTAATGTGGAATCTCCTGTGGGTGTGGGTCAAAAGCCTCACAGCAGAATTTAGGGCGACTTGCAAAGGAGCCAGATCTTTTTTGCTAAGACATTTACGCAGCTGTTGCAATAATCCAGTCGTGAGGAAACAAAAGCATGGACAATCCTATCCTGCTCGTGACCTGAGACCATATTTCTGAGCTTGGAGATGTATCAGTTATTTGTTTTTTTACTCTTGTTGAGCAGGGTTTTCGTGTGTGTTTTGTTTCTCCCCCCTCCAGTGCGCCCCCAGGCCTACATTTCCATCGACTCCCAGTCCAACAGCAGTGTCCTGGAGCTGGCAGACCCCCCTCAGGGCTGGGGGCCTGGGGACCGTATCGTGGTAGCCAGTACGGACTACTCCATGCACCAGGCCGAGGAGTTCACAGTTCTGCCCTGCCCCAGCTGCACTGGCAACCAGATCAGAGTGGCAGGTGAGACTCGGATATATTTTACAAGTAATAATAATAATGCATTGACTTTTTAATAGCGATTTTTTTGGACACTCAAATATGCTTCACAAGGCAATTCAATTGAATTATCTTTATTCCCAAACCTTAAACGTCTTACAAGTCATACACATTCTAATTTTTCAGGAAGCTGCATTTGCTACAGGAGTCCCAAAGGGTGGCCACAGCTGCCTTGGGGCACACTGATAGAAGCGAGGCAACCAGAACATGCCACCAACCATTGAGGCATACATCAGACTCATTCTAGACAATGTGAGCGCAGTGTCTTGCCTGAGGACACAACAACAGTTTTGCACTTTAAGCCGCTCCACTGTGGTACCTGGTGTTCCCAGAGGTCCCCCATCACAGTAGTAACCAGGCCCTTACCTGCTTAGCTTCAGAGGTCTGACAGGATCTGGCTTTCACTATTATATGATGAAGTAGTCTTTAATAGGGGTTGTACTGTCTGAAAAATGAACATATGGCCTCTTGTCCAGGACTCCCCAGAAAAAGAAGTGAATTCGATTTGTAGTAATGTTTTAAGAAAGGAGCCGAAACATCAATTTTTTGTTCGTCTTTCTGCTCCTTTTCATTTCTGTGACAAGACTACAATGATTTGAAATGAAATTGTAATATCTGATGTATTTTCATGACAACGATTGAAATAAATACAAACAAGTAAATAAATAATCTCAATGGCCATTTCCTGGTTTAATAAAGGTTAAATAAATAAAATAAAATAAAAAATCAATGCTTATTGCTCTTAAGAACTTTAGAAGCAGACCACTCTGTGAAGGAGGACTGTCTGAGGGCGACAATAATCTATAAACTAATCGTACTTCACCCTAAGTGCTCTAGACTCTAGAGTGTGCTTCAAATGGACGTTTTAAAAGTGAAAACTCGTCCTTTCTGAATTCAAATGATAAAGACAGTTGTTCTCTTCGCCCTCTCTGAACTTCATAAATTACCGCTGTGTCAAACTTACATTGTAGTAATTAACCTTAAACCATTAAAACCCAGAGTTAAGTGTCAGGACACGTTCACACTTGTTGGTCGTGTCCTGACACTTCAGTCAGTCCACTTCAGTTGGACCGGTCTGGTTTCACCTGCGGGAGGAGGGCGTCTCAGATCTGTTTCAAAACATGTCGACTGTCTCCAATCATCATTACTGTTAGGCTGTCAAAGCATTACTTTTTTATGTGATCAAATGTTGATTGGATTGTACTTTTCAAATTACATGTTACATATTTAATTGTGATTCATTTCATTAATTACAACATGGCTGAACAGTAACAAGGAACGCAAGTGTATGAATGGAATGGACATGTGCAATTGAGAGTTGTGTGCAATAGTGGGTTGTGTGCAATAGGGGGATGAGTGCAATAGGGGGTTTGTGCAAAAGAGTTGTGTGCAATAGAGGGTTTTGTGCAATAGGGGGTTGTGTGAAATAGGGGGTTGTGTGCAATAGAGGGTTGTGTGCAATAGGGGGTTGTGTGCAATAGGGGGTTGTGTGCAATAGGGGGTTGTGTGCAATAGAGGATTGTGTGCAATAGGGGGTTTGTGCAAAAGAGTTGTGTGCAATAGAGGGTTGTGTGCAATAGGGGGTTGTGTGAAATAGGGGGTTGTGTGCAATAGAGGGTTGTGTGCAATAGGGGGTTGTGTGCAATAGGGGGTTGTGTGCAATAGGGGGTTGTGTGCAATAGAGGATTGTGTACAATAGGGGGTTGTGTGCAATAGGGGGTTGTGTGCAATAGGGGGTTGTGTGCAATAGAGGGCTGTGTGCAATAGGGGGTTGTGTGCAATAGGGGGTTGTGTGCAATAGAGGATTGTGTGCAATAGGGGGTTGTGTGCAATAGGGGGTTGTGTGCAATAGGGGGCTGTGTGCAATAGAGGGCTGTGTACAATAGGGGGTTGTGTGCAATAGAGGGTGTGTGCAATAGAGGGTTGTGTGCAATAGGGGGTTGTGTGCAATAGGGGGCTGTGTGCAATAGAGGACTGTGTACAATAGGGGGTTGTGTGCAATAGAGGGTGTGTGCAATAGAGGGTTGTGTGCAATAGGGGGTTGTGTGCAATAGAGGATTGTGTGCAATGGGGGGCTCTGTGCAATAGGGGGTTTTGTGCAATAGAGGGTTGTGTGCAATAGGGGGTTGTGTGCAATAGGGGGTTGTTTGCAATAGGGGGTTGTGTGCAATAGGGGGTTGTGTGCAATAGGGGGTTGTGTACAATAGAGGGTTTTGTGCAATAGGGGGTTGTGTGCAATAGAGGGTTTTGTGCAATAGAGATACATTTAGCCAAACATGTAACAACCCTTCTGCCCAAAAGTTCCTGTGTCAGTCCTGTAATAGTATGATGTCATTGCACCACTATGACATCACACCCAGAGCAAATGTGGGTCAAATTTGATTCCTCCCTCTGGTGGTGGCAGACAGAGTTACAGGTTGAAAGCACTTTTTACACTTAATTCTTGTGTCTATATTTATTTTCTACACATTCTAAAACATGATTTGACAACATAAAAAGACTCAATTGGGATTTCTTCTTCTTGTACATGTTCTTTTACTCATCTTTTTCTTATACAAGCAGACCAAGTGTGAACGCGCCCTCAGAAGTGGCGTAAACTGGTTTAACGATCCCAAGATGATACATGAGAAATTAATTTACAAAACTTAAAAGTTCCGCTCAGGGCTCCGGATCTGATTGTTTGGATCGGGCCACTTTGGTTTGAGGGCTTTAAAGTGAACCCAATGTCCTCAAATCTTCAAAAATACAATTAGTTCATTTTAAAGCAGTCACAGCAGTCGGGCTTCAACCTCATCATCTGGAACATTCTTACATCCTCATAAATGACTGCGATGTGTTTAGAAGCATCTTTCAAAGAGCAGCGGGAGTGAGGCGATAAAGCCAAAGAACTATTTATGAACATGCAAATCTGCAACTAATTCTGTTCAAATACACGGAACAAAACTGGTGCCAATGTTGATTTTTCCAAAGCACTTTTGGAAGAATATTCTGCAGAATATTCTACAATATTCTGAAAAAGTTGTTTTAATCCATTGCCGATTTTTTTATGATATAATATTATGCAGCAAACATTATACAAGATACAGTCATCTAACAGAACATAAAACACAACTTAAAGCAGCCATTCGATATTTTGTAGCTGAATACAACAATCCAACTACTCTCCCCCAAACACAAGATTGTTTGAACATTTTCCACTTTCAAAGATATAAATCTCTCCAATATGTCCTGACATCACCTCTCCTTCTACACCGAGAACGAGACAAACCGTGTCCTCAACGCAGGTGAAATCTCTGGGGGGAAAATTGTAATTTTTTTATGTTTTTTAGAGAAAGCCAGACTTCACCCCCTCCCTGCCTCCCCCCGTCTCCCCCCTTTTAGTCACAGAGAGTTAGGTGTTGTGCAAAGCCGGAGCTCAGACTGGGCCTCAGACGGTGATGATGGCCGACACAGGTGAAGACAGGCTAACAGCACGACATGTTTGTGATTCTATCGTCTCACACTTTTCTCGCACAGGGCTGTTTTTCTTTCTTTCTGTTGGAGTCAGCGGGAAACACACTGCAGTTGGATTTCAGAATATTTTTTGATAGAGCAAGCTGAGGGGACCACAGATTGCAAAAAGTGACAAAAAATATTTCTCAAATTTGCCAAAATGTGTCTTAAATTGAGCACATTTTAACTGACCTAACACAGGATTTGCCAATGCAGTTTTAAGTGGTGCAACATTTGTCTCCAGTATTATGAAATCAATAACTATGATGTGGATGTGAGACAGCCCTGGAATGGAAGGTGGGAGGCGAGCTTTTGTATTTTGCACCTAGAAAGTGTCTTGTAAAAGTAAAATATTGTGGACTTTACTGAACTTAGATGTAGGAGGGTCTAAGAAACGCGTTAGATGGATATTTTGGATTACATACTTCAATTGTTGGTCTCAAAGTTGGTTTATCAAAGTGGGATCCCCTTTGTCCCCTTTCTGCCACTTTTTATAAATGTATTTTATACCTGTTGAGGTATTGAGCTCCCCCCTGGACTGCCACCTTAACGTGGTGGGGGAGTTTGAGTACTCGGATGATCCTGGGAGCTATGCTGTCTGGGGCTTCATGCCCCTGGTAGGGCCTCCCATGGCAGACAGGTCTCAGGTGACGAGTCAGACAAAGAGCAGTCCAGAAGACACCATGAACAGCACGGTGCCGGGCGACGTCCACTGAGATCAGTGACGTCGCCCGGCATGGCGCAGCCGGGGCCCCAACCTGGAGCCAGGCCTGGGGTCAGGGCTCGTATGCGAGCGCCTGGTGGCCGGGCCTTAGCCCACGGGGCCCGGCCGGGCTCAGCCCGAATGGACGACGTGGGCAGTCCCTCCTGTGGGCCCACCACCCGCAGAGGGGTCCGTGGTGGCGAAGCGGTGCAGAGAGGACTGGGCAGCGGTCGAAGGCGGAGACCTCGGCGACCCAGTCCGCACACACAATAGCTGGCTCTTGGGACGTGGAACGTCACCTCACTGGGGGGGGGGAGGAGCCCGAGCTTGTGGGGGAGGTTGAGCGATACCGACTAGAGATAGTCGGCCTCACCTCCACACACAGCTTGGGCTCTGGAACCCAACTCCTTGAGAGGGGTTGGACGCTCCACTTTTCTGGAGTTTCCCGCGGGGAGAGGCGGCGAGCTGGGGTGGCCATTCTCATTGCCCCTGTTGTATATTTTAAATATAGACTAAAGGCAGATGTGAATTTGATTGACCCGGAATTGAACTCTTGTCTCTTTCCCAAGCAAAAAGACCTGTGCCCTCAGGGATTAAGTCACAAGGACACAGGATAAGCAGACGGGAATTATAAAAAGATATCGTCTTTGAACAAGGCGAATTATTAACGTTCGATAATAAACATTATCTGCTGACAGAGCAAAAGTCCCTCACCATCAGGCGGAAAGGGAATTTACCAACAGCATTCTAACGCCTCCCAGTGGACAAG